GCCACTGTGTGCGCGTTCTGTATCGTGGGATTTGATAAAACCGTTTTCGACGACTAAACAACTTCGATTCAACAATCGGAGATTTTCGACAAAGGCGCACAACATATTCCAAATACAGTTATGCCGAATGAAACTGTCCACGACGAGGAAAACGGCTGTATCCCAATCGATTACCAATATTCCAAGCGGCACGGATGCGCATTGATTGTCGATGTATATAAAATCTTTCTAAGGAGGCAAAACGCAATATAATAATATTAGGATTATGATATTTTGAGGTACACTAGGTTCGCGAACAACACAGATCCTAAAAATGTCGATCTCGGATGTACGTGAAATTTGTTTTCAAAATGCTTATCGCGTACATTTCCGATAATATTTTTACATTCAGCAGCTAGTGGTGCTCGGGACCAACGGACGGGAGAAAGCGATTATATGGTGAACATTTATTGCGGTGGTCAACCTCACCACCGCACGTTCCCTTCTGTACACCCGTATACTCGAATATCGTGACGAAGAGGGACGAACAGCAACACCTCGTCGGAAGAGATGATCTAGTTTTAACGCGATGGCTGCGACAAGCGTATGCATCCGATCGCAAACTAAGTTCGAAATCCCAAACGAATCATAGAGAGAGAGTGAGAGAGAAAGAGAGGGAGAGAAAAATAAATAAATAGTTAACATCGAAAAAACATAGTCGTGTTCACGTCGAGAACCATGTTATAATAATAATAATGTTTACTATTCTTTACGTGTTATAATATTATAGTATTGTAACGTGATAACTCCACTACATTATATTAGTTTGACGGTCCTACGCGCATTCCACGCTCCTCGGCTGCATTTCTTCCCGTCTATCTTTCCATCTCGCCACCACGAGAAATTGATGTAATAAAAATATCGTTCGGACGGACGTGTACGAGAATACTATGAAAAAAGATATTATGTTCATACATTAAACTGCATCGTGTACAGATCGGGCCTTATGTCGATCAAAAACGATCAGTTATTTTTGGATGCGGCGACGTCAAAGTGTACCCAGCCGCCGCAAGGCGAGTCGGCGACGACGATGACGACGTATAGGTACGTAATATAGTGCCGTTCATCCGTTATTATAATATGCCGCCGACTCGGCTATAAAGCATTAATTTTTATCGATGTTATATCTTTAGAACGCGGAAAATACGTACACACGTGTTGTATCGAAGTGTAATGTTTGGTCTTGTTCATAGGGCACGAACTCGAAACTTTCCTAAAAGATTCCCCGCGTATATGTCTATACAAGCAGGACATTTTTTAAATAGTGTATAAGCTATTATTAACTATAAAGTTATAAGCAATATTCACATATATATAATCAAAAAGCAAGCATTTATTGATAGACATGAGTAATTAGACGACGCACTTGGAATCCGTCCGGGAAGATAAACATGAAAAACAATTATTACGAGAAAAAAAATGGTGTACCCTCGTACGAATTTCATTAGAGCTGCAATGTCATGAGGACTCGAAGTACGGTTTTAAAATCAGAACCGTACTAATACTTACGGATTAATGTCGGATTCTTCGTTTTACTAAAATATTCCATCTTCTGCAGCATATTTGCGGTGGTAGTACGACTCGATTGTAGGATAATCAGTTTAGGTTTTTTGAAAGGGCGTATCTGCAGGTAATCTTTTAAACGTGATTGTTCTAAAAACTAAGCACATGTTGGTAAAGATATTTGTCTATTACCAGCAGATGGTGCTCCTAAGTTTTTGAAAGTTTTGTCGTTTACCGAAAAGACATTACTCCATTTTTATCGAATTGTGTCCCTTAATTCAACAAACGATCGTATATGTAACAAATATTATGTATATACATATATGTACGCGTGTTATGTGATATTCGGGGGTTGCGAATAAAATGATAAGCGAATGATCAGATTTCCTTCCCCTCGCAGCATATAGAAACGTGATAATATATTTCGTTGGTGCATAATATGGAGTCGTCGACAGTGGTTTATCCCTACGAATATGTCGTAACTTTCTATGCTGTATATTTGTGCTTGATCTTATTGCTTTTTTTTTTCTTTTCATTCGCTGGTTTCACCATTATTTGCTCGAGCCGTTTAGAACGCGTGGCGTTCGTCTCGTGATTTATGTATTCGAAGTAGAAATTTAAGAAAATCTTAGTTTTAACCTGCTCCAGTGATCATTTGTACAACACGTGTGTCAGAGGCGTCCCTGGACCTTAATTTAAAGAGGAGGAGGTGAGAGGAAAATCGTCTGTTATTATACATTTTTTTTGGAAAAATAACAATAATTGTTATAGTTAAATGGCTGTAGGGAAAAAAAAATAAGGAAAAACACAATAACTATTACCATACAAATAATTTTCGAAGTACTACATACCAATCAAAGTTGTTTTATCCAGAGGGGCGATCACCCCTTCGTGTCCCCCTAAAATACGCATTTGACGCGTGTTGCGTTGCCGTGATTGAATTTCAATTACGTTTTTGCGAGCAATCCTCAAACATCTTTTATTAATGACTGACACCAGTAAAACGATGATAATAATACGATAATCAGAAACTGTTACCAATTATTGTAAAAAAAAAAAAATAAAAAATGTAAGGTATACAAGTATAACCTTCGTGTCGTATTCAAGAATGGATAACAAATTTATCTCTTAACGACCAAACTCCAAAGAAGTTATGTCCAAGAATAATAATTATAACAATTATTGTTACTCTCTATTATGTATTTTTACACACCGTGGGTAATTTAATTTAATTAACATTACATACTACACTACATGTATTATACATTTCAAAAGCAAATATAATATTTGACTACACTTATTTATACATTTAATTATCGTACTTTTTTTTAATAATTTCAGCAATGAATTAATTAATCACCCATCATCCATCAGTCTAGTCCGAGCCAAAAAAAAAAAAGTTATAATATACATGCGTACCTACTTTCTATACGTGTATTCTATTATTATGTTTGTTTCTCATGATCAACGCTTTCTAATAAAAATTTTATCAAATGAATAATTATGTCCGTTCACTTTGCAACTTTGGAAAAATTACGTCTGCGAGTATACTTTTTATTTCTATATTGTTCGCGGTTGCCGAATTACGTCAAACAAAATTAAAACAGTTTACACTAACATAATTATGAATACAGTTTTTTTCGTTAATCTTAAATCACACGAGTTCATAAAAGCGGTAAACTATGATTCGGGGCAGAACCTCCAGGAATAAATTACGTCGATAAGTATTCAAAACAACATATTTATTCGAGTCGAATTTATCATGGTTTTCACAAATATTGTACACACGATGCACGATTGTCGTATACGAGTAGTCACGCAGTAATCTGGACAGTAGGCACAGGCTGTACTTACATGCGAGAATGGTCTTACCTACGGCTCGTACTTCTCGTGCACGTGCATGGCCCGCAAAATTTGACTTCAACCGTATTATCAACGATAAGCTATGATTCTAACAAAATCCAAGTGAGATCCATGTCTTTGCAAAATAATCGGTTAATTGGAGTAATAACTCTTCGTTTTCAATATAAAAAATTTGGGACATTAATTAATCGAATTTATCAACTACGTTTGTTACAGGAACAAAAGCTAAAGCCATTAATTGTTTAATTTTCAGATCAAAGTCATTGTCGACCATATATTTTTGTCGTACTACGGGAAGGTTTTAAATTTTTCTCCATGAGCATTGACCGAAATGAAAAAACATCCTCTCATTTGAACACGTAAAAAAATGTATCAATTAATCCTTGTTGAATGTCATCAGATAACTAATTGGGTTTAAATTGTATAGGAGTGTACTTCTATAGACTGTATAATATAACTATTGGATCGAAGACGGATATTAATAATAGTGGACGGGAAAATAATGATAACGACTTAAACCTTCAGCGTTCAGTTTCTGTACACTCGATAACAAACAACAACGAACACGTATCGGGAAAACAGTTTTACTCGCCGCTCGTCCGCCACTTCGATACTCAAATAAATACTATACAATACGCGATTATCGTAGTAGTTATTGTACACGTCATTCGCTTATCGGAAAAAAAAAATTGCTCGACATACATAATCATGCCTCGTGCGCACGGCGGGTGCCCTTTTATGCGCATAACAATATCACACGTCGTGTACTCGCCAAAACGCTAAATTCTAATTTGACTTTCTTAGAAAAACGAGCGCCGCCGACTGCACAGTAAACATAGGGGCAGTGACTCTCAGACCGGTGTACCGCGAAGAAAATAATAATCCGTATCAGCAAACCATCGTTATTGCCGACGGACGCATGTGAATTCCGCTCAAAAATGGTAAATTCCGTCCAAAATGAACTGCAAGTAAAATAAGGTACATGTTAATTCCGTCAGAAAAAAATTCATAGTTAATAAACACATCCTACGTATACTTAAGAAAATTTAAAATTGCCTAATACTAAAAATATATTACCACGTTTTGATTCGATAAATTGAGCAATTATAGCGTATAAGCGTATAAGACTTTAAGGACGTGTACTGGATACGATTTATAATATTTCTATCTGATATTTCCAACTATTAAATACACAATATGTGGCAAAGCTGATGAGTGATGACTGATTGACGATTGTCGTCTGATAGACGACTGTTCGATGTTCGTTCACATTTTGTGTACGGTCGCGTCGTACAGTCACGGAACGCTCAGCTTAAAAATATTTATTTTTCCGTACGGAATTTACATGTATCTTTTTTACTTGGATATTTTCCCGGGCGGAATTTACCATAGACCATTGCCCGACAACTTGTTGGTACCGAACGTCCAACTGTTGCGCGCGCACGCGCATCGTTCACTCCAGTGGCGCTGAACCCTGCGCTTAGGTCGGGCCGCGGTCTGAATACGTTTTTAAAACGATCAGAGGGATTAGAGGTGCCAATCTGCGGTTTGCACGGACAGCGTCCGTCGGGTATGTGTCCGACTAATACGGATCATGGTCAATACTTGTGATTTGAGATCAAAAATTATTTTTCTATGCAAAGTAAAAATTAAGGCTTGTGGCCGTTGTATTTTTATTCGGTTCGAGTACAGTTTTACAAGTTCGGCGCCGCTGGTTCAATCGATCCGGCGAGATTTTTTCACGAACTGTGCAAACATGTTCCGAATCTGTTGCTCGCATAGCCGCACTCACTTGCAGGGATGCAAAAAGGCCGATTACCGTTTGCGACGTTCGTATGCGGCTTGGATCACAGCGATATGTGTTCTCGAGCGATCGGCTAAAAGCGAAAACAATCCCCGGGCGATCCGTCTGCTGCAGTCGTTGGCAGTTCGGGCAGTACGGCGACCGGGAACGCAATTTTTCGTTGTCTAAACGATCGGTTTTCATCGGTTTCTTACAAACTTCTGGGATAAAAGAATGACGGTAGAATTTTCAATCGAATTAAATACTCGATTTCGCAGCTCTAAGTGCCCTCGATCAGCCGCTTAAACAAAACGAATTAAGTGATTAACGGCCGACACGTACCACAAGTGGTTATGTAAAATATACTGTTGCAGTTTATAGAACGTTCGTTTGGGAGAAACAAAAGCGGTTTACAAATATTTGCTGTCCGGTAATATTCCCAGGCGCGTACACAACATAAATGTACGTAAGAGACGGTTTTTAAGGTTTTCAAAAGCTACTCGTACAATAACGACAATCATTAACAAAAATAGTACAGTTAGGTTCGGTTACCTTTACCTATTTGATTATTACTCTAATAGCTTTTACACCGACAAAACTATGGATTATTATATGAATAAATGGGTAAAGAAATTTGAATATGCTTTTTCTTACGATTTCGAGTTTGAACCCCTAAAATCTTCGATTATATATGTACTCGAATATTTCCATTTCTTTATACAATACGATTTTGACGAGTTTTGTAGAAAAAAAACATTTGTTTTTACTTAAAACACATAACTTACATATTATACATATTTATGTACTGTCGTTTGGTTTGTTCATAACTGCACTATCGACTGCGTGTCACGAATATACATTTGGAGCACAGTGTATGAGCGTATACTAATGGCGGCGACGCGAAAGCGTCGTCGATTGTATATGTTCGGTATATAATGTCTTGCGCTGACAATTTGTCTCATCACGCGAATGCGAAGGCGAAGTTCCCCTGGTCAATTAAAAAAATACGGTCAAATCCATTAATGTCGAATGGTCACGGTAAATTGACTTATCGTGTAGGTTTCAAACGAATTCAAAAAAGTTATTTTCTTTTTACATTCTTTAAACTTTTCGTCGTGAATAAAATATGTATCAAAAAACGTTTGTCATGTATGTAAATGCACTGCGTATTATCGACGGTTACACATCAAAACACAGGCGGATTTAAGAGAGTGGTTAAGGAGGCATTAGTCCCCTCCCCTTGGGACTTAGCTAACTATTTTACAAAGCAAATGTAATATGATATATTAATAATTATTATAAAATATCGTCAATCGTCTTTGATGAATATGGTACACATTTTATTTATTTTTTATAAATAATTATCTCATTTTTGTTGTTACTTATAGGTATATATAGGTATATACCAATATTTTTAAAATGGTTTCAGATTACTATTGATGTTATGAAACTATAAACTATATTATGAAAAAATGACTCAATTATGAGAGACTCAAAAACATATTCTGTAATTAAAAATTTTATACAAATTTAAAAAACAACTAACTAAATTCATGAACCTCCATTAGTCCCTCCCTTGGTGAGTGATAAAACCCACCTTTGCATCAAAATAATTATAATAATTGAAAATACGAAAGTATATCATAAGCTTTGTATCACAAGAGTATCTTCGAATACATATTTATCTAGAAACAGTGATACATTTAGAATATACGAGTATATGAATATATGTGGATCTCAGGGGATGTATATCCTAAGGTATAACAGTATGCAATTTCAAAATGTTTTGTTCAATTCAAAAATTATATCAAATAATGACATGAGTAAATTATATTAAACAGTTTAATTATAATTTTTTTCTTTCCTACGCGAGTAGATAGGAACCAAAAAAATCCAAAAAAATTAAGTACACGTTACACCTTACACCTCAGATTATATAAAAATATACCTTTAATTTGTATAGTAATAATTTGTTTTATACGTATTCATATCACATTCAACTTAAAATAATTTTCTATGATAATCCATTATCAGAAAATCATTAATAATTAAAAAAGTGTATACAATACACGTTAATCAATTTTATACATTTTGTGATAAAAAAAAAATTATAAAATCAATAAAACTGCCGCCCCTAAAACTGTTAAAATGTTGACGCTAGGAGCATTCGTCTCCTTAGCCCTCCCCCCCCTAAATTCCCTACTGTCTAGAAATCGCCACGACTCAAGTTATGTCGGTTTTTTACTTTACCGTTCGCGTGACGTTAACGTGCTGATGAAATAAACAGTGTGCATTTAAATTTAAAAGCAAGCCTTATTCATTATTAATCAGTATTATATTGCATATGTATAGAATATTATGAAAGTATTATTAACAAATATTTGTCCTCGCTGGATGCCGAGTAGTAACACTGTTTCCGCGCATTGTAATGCACAGACAGCATACATTATCTTCATTTGTGTTAGGAACGCATTTGCAAATTAGCGATTTGGTGTATATCATCACAGACATTACTGTCTGAAATATGTTGTGAAAAAAAAAATGTGCATAAAGACATAATCGATTTGTTAGCTAGAAACAAGTAACGGATTCATACGATAAAAATCCTTGGCCTATATATATATAAATATAAAATTTATATATACATACATATATATATTTAATATATATATGTATGTATAAATATTTAATAATCGTTCTAAAATATTTGCACGCGCGCATTAACTCAGTGGCTTAATGTATTCGATAAATCAGAGCTTACAAAAATATATCGTCAGTTCAATTTGCCATGAGCTACGTTTTGGTCAAGAATGCACAGAGTAAATTATATTATTGCAGTGACGCACACAAGATTTTTTTTTTTGAAAGGGGGGAGGTCAAGGTATAAATATTACACGTATTACCGTTGACAAAAATTATGAGATAATGTTATCATGTACTGTGTTATACGTGTAGATTATGTATGCTCTCACTTATTATTTCATGAGCGGTAAATTGAACACCAATTCGATTTCAAATATGTTAAAATTGTATAAACGAGTATTCTATGCCTAGGAAAAAATTTCGATGGGGGTTACGATCCGTTAACATTTACCCTGCGTGCGCCACTTTATTATTATTTATATACGTATTCGTACGACATGTTGAACAGCAGGACACCAATTAATAATCTCAACAACAAACTTAATTTCCCTAGATATGGTATTTCGATAGAAGTACAAACATTTTTCTATATTATAATGCCACGATTAAACGTTTTTGAATGATAAAAACGTGTTCAAATATCCTGTTTCACAATTTTGAAATTACACGGACTCGCATTTTTCTCGTATCTAATTAACGACTGTTTATCTACAATTACCAGTGATATCATACGATATTGTCAGTACATGCGATTATCTGTTTGATTATAATAAGAAAATATTTTAAGAACTTCAGTGGAAACGGCGATTGCACTTTGTTTCCGTCATAAAATGTTGAATATTAGGATAAAAAATAAAAAATTTCAAGCCGTATAAATTTTTTTTATTAAGAATCGAAATTTATTGTATTTACAGTATGTATTTACAAGTGATACAATAGGTGAATCGGATAAGATTTACTGACGGGAAGGGGAAGTCACCCAATCGCGGCACCCCGTGAAATCTTATATATAATACATTGTAATCGGTACCCTAACGTATGTTCCCGGTGGAGGGTTGAAGGGATTTTTGGAATACGGAACCTGTGTTGCTGTGCCCACCCAGAGCGCGCGGTAATCATGGTGGCCGCTGCCGAGGATGCGGTACAAGCCCGTCCACAGTTGCCGTTGGTTTCGACGGACGGAGGAACGGACAAACAAACCGACAAGCCGGAGGAGTGGGCAGTAGATGGACGAAAACGAATACGATCCTGGCGCGGCGCAACCGTGTTACTCCTCGTGCGCTCTCGGCCATCGCGAGCTCCGCGTTACACCACGTGCTGCTGCCGTTCGCCCGTCCTCGGTGCATCGGCGCGTGCGTTATTGCGAGCACGACGTACGTACGCGACACGCATGCGGTGCACTGGGCGCAAACACCTGGTGCGCCACGTACGCCCGGTGTGTAGTGGACGGAGGAGTGCGCCGGCGACGGTGCGCTCGATGGCATCCGACCGTAACATACCTATGCGCTCTCTACGCGATCGCGTACGGTCGGGGGGATCGGCTCGACAGACCGGTTCCGATCGAATGGTATTTATTATTATTGTTATTATCAACATTATTCGTTTCCATTACACCTCAGTGGTACATAAAGGGGTTATCTGAGTCAATTTTTAAGTAATTTTCAAATATATAAACGAAGGTTCTGTTTTGGATTAAAAAAAAATTAACAACTCATTTTCTATACCTATATTTTCTATATTTAGTTAGATATACGGTTATATAGTATAATAAAGTAATATATCTATATAGCACCTATGAATTGTTGTACAAGAAAAAATTAAAAAAATAAAAACAGTGGTGCATTATGATATGTATTATTGTACATATATATATATATGTACATATTGTGTTCAACAAGTATAAACAATGTTTACATTATAAAGTAAAATTACTTAAAAATTGGCTAAGAAGCCCCCTTAATATACTGCTCACCTCACCGCTGTACCTACATGCTTCGTATAAAGCGACGTATAAAAGCCCGACGACTTCTGGGCTTCAGTCACGAAGGATGAGAGGAGGTGGGCTGGGAGGGAGGGCCAGTGAATAAAGAGCCAGTGCTTGAACACGCTGATCTAACGACGACGAACGAATGATAATGATGGAGAAAAAAAAAGAAGAAACCCCCACAGACGAAATTCCTGGAGGGCGCGGCGCACACGTTGCCGCCTCTTATGTTATGTGTACGCTGCTGTGGAACAATGCGAGGAAAAAACGTCCTTAACGGAGCAACGCGGTGCCTTCGGTGCGGTTCATTGTTGGCCGAAGAGAGAAAAAAAAAATACCGAAAAGGCTCTGTGTGCGCCGCGTATTGTGTTCCGTCGTGCGCGTCCGTTGACGACGGTGCGCGCGGTGCGACGGTCACACGGCCCGTGCGCTCGCATGTGCACCGCTGCGTCCGGCCGGGAAATGAATGAAAACTGCAAGCCCCGGCCGTAGCTAGAGAAACTGGTTTTATGAAATCGATTTCACGAAAACATTTTCGTGACACGTGTTTCGTATTTGTACGCGAACCTACGAAACTATTAAAACGATTACTGTTTTAACAATGTCGTCTGAGGATGTGCTCGTGTTACATTGTGTGGCTCCGCAATGAAAAAAGGAACCGTAGGCGAATAGGATTCGTTCGATTTTAAATGATAGACAGAATGGTAGGCATGCAGCTGCAAAGTAATTAACCACCGATAAGGATGAATTCCGAAGTTTCTGTAGAGCTTCTCAATGTGCTTTTCACCATTTAGTACAGTTGTTTTGGATCGCGTGTAACAAAGACGGATACCAGTATTGTAAAGACTTACATTTTTTTTTTTTCATCGAACAAAGAAAGATAATATTGGTGTTATTTATGTTATTTATGTTATTTATTACAATAAATTGAAGTTTCTACATATTTACGTGGTTATTAAGCTAAAAAACATTGCTAAAAATAAATATTATTTATAATACTATTATATTGAAAGTTAAATGAATGCTGCAAAAATTAATATAATTAAAATATTAATATACTTATATTATATAATAAATAAAACATACATAAAACAAGCTTCCAATGTATAAATTAAAAACTGTCATTAATGATGAAATTATATTGTTAAAACCAAAATCAGGGCCGTAGAAATGCCCTGGCAAGAGGGCATGGGCCAGGGGCGCAGTTACACCTAGGTCGCGTTTTTTGTAAAATCAATTTAAATAAATAAAAATGCATTGCTTATTCGAAATTGTTTGCGTATATATATTTTGAATTTTGATATTTTTGACTTTAGAGGGTTGATATGTTAAGGTACAGCGCGGTAGAAGCGCAAATTGAA